AAACCATCTTCATGTTTCTACCGCCTTTATTGCGATCGTTATATAAAACTCTTTGTGAAAACTTCTTACAGTCAATCTTTTCGATTCCCGATCGATCGATCCGACAATTGTTCGTCGTGAAATTTTATCGACCCATATTTTTATTTCTCTTCGTGCTACTTCTATGATTATTCTGATAGTGTATACTTTCACTAGCGTACAAATCAAAAGTAAAACTATCAATTACCAACACAATCTGTCTATGAAGATCCGCAAAAGGTATATGCAAACACTCTGCAATGTCCATGTAGAACAATTTCAATTCCTTATGGAAGATTTCTTAATATTGTTCCATTGTTTCATCAAGCATGTTTGAGCGATTTTGTATCTCAATTCTATTGATTTAACATTCGAAATAAATACAACACTGATTTGGCCAATAGATGTAAGCAACGTGGGTGTGGGGTGTGGGTGTGGGTGTTAGTATTGTTTTTGAACAGCTTCACCCACACCCACACCCACATCCCGAATTCACACCCAACCCACACCCACACGCTAAATACATTAAGCTGTGACCATGAGATGATAAATAGTGTCTACAAATAATGATAAGAAAATGGTGAAAAAGAAAAAGAGATTGTGCATGTTATGACTCACAGAAAGTGAAGCGTAACTATGTTGTTCGACAAATTTTTGTCGGCAGGCCGTGGGTCGACAAATCGTCGAAAACTTTTTGTCGACAGAGCATTTTGTCGAAAGAAAATTTCGTCGGGAAAGCATCTCATCAATAATCACAGATGAAACACAGATTATTACAACATAATCAACTTGGTTCTATAGAAAAACATACTTCGTCTAATATAAATATTATACGGCAAGTTTCTTGAGAAACACAAACAAATATAGAAGAGCAACAATAGTAACACGCAGGATGTGAATGCGGGTCTCGGTTGCGTGTGGGTGTGACGTGTGCCTGTTGATGTAGAGACAGAAGACTGACAACCATATTCATACTACACACCCTCACCACACCAACATCCTCCCTCCCCACTCTCCACCTACCCATATTACACACCCACTGACATCCAACACACTCACCTTCCACACCTGTCACGCGTACTCACAGCCACACCCACAGCCGCACTCACAGTCACACCCACCCACACCCCACACTCACACCCACACACTCACGCCGACATCCCCCACACTAGAGCCCATCGGGTCCTACCCGGACCTGACCGGGTTTGGATCCGAATCTGAAACTTTTGTTTCAACTATGTCCGGGTCCAAAAATTTTTGGACTTGATGGACTCTAACCACAAAATATCAATGAATTAGGTGCGAATCCAACAATTTTGATCGGTCTGGTCTGGGTTCGGGTCCGGTTCCAACAAATTTTAATCAGTCGGATCCGGGTTCGGGTCCAAAAATTCTTGGATTCTATCGGCTCTACTCCACATCCACTCACACCCCAAGATTTTTCTCTGTTATTCAAGTTATTTGTTGACACATCGTACGATCGCTTCATCATCCTTAAAGGTCGAATCTCATTCGCTGTCAACGACAGAGTTTTCACCCAGGTGAGTGATTGTTTCTCTTTCCAACAGAAAAGTAATAAAAAGAAAGAGAAAATGGCCCCTCAGCGTGTTTTTTTTTCCAACTACCTTCAACTATTTTGCATAGAGGTACGTATCAAATGAAATTCTCTTTCATAGGAATAACGTGCATGGCTTTTTTTGCCGAATAGCAGTCAAAATAAGATCAGACTTGGTAAATTCCAATTCAAACATAACGAAAGCAGCCATCGAGTGTAAATTTTGCACTGCATATATTTTTTATCGAAACAAACAAGAGCGATTTGAGAAGAAGAATTACGCACGCCTTACGTAAGTAGACACGTATAAAAGACCAATTTATTCGCTTCTGGTTCAAAGTATCTAAGAGAAGATAAATATATAATTAAGGAAATTCAGAAGTTGTCGAAACATTTTCCTATTTATTTAATAAACGATACTTTGAAGCAGTCTTTTTCCATTGATTGTTCGGGATATTTGTCCCTATTTCTTATACAAAGTTTCATTTGACTAACCCAGCGGTTGACGCTTTTTGAAGCGAAAAACGTGATATGGCACAAGGTCTCTTGGTCACTAATTGTTGTCAAAATATAAGCTTCGAACAGTTGCCTGATGAAGGGTGAATATGAGCTCTGAGAAACAGTGACTAGAAAAGGATGAAAACTGGAGAGAGACGATCAAGAAATGTGAAAATGTAATGATAAGCGAGGATTTATGGATGGATGATCGTGAGTAATGGTATATTAGTGTGCGATTATTGTTTAAAAGCATCAGTCACTCATTACCACCCAGCATTAGCTACTTTTGCTCAACCCCGCTTTTTGAGACCATCATCATCGTCCCATAGTTCTTCGAGTTTGTATGTATAGGAAGCTGCAATTATTTGAAGGAGTGAACGTGAATATAAGTATTGCAGAAAAAATCCAAGAACGCTCTTCGTTATAAACACGATATGTTAAGTTCCTATTTCCAGGAAATTCAAATAAAAAGACTATGAGAAAAATTTCAGGGAAATTTAAATCAGTACTTCGAGAAATAAGGACAGAAAATAAATTTTACAATAAATAGCATATATGAATGCAGTGTATATCTATAGGGTTGGATTAGGTTAGGAAATTCATTATAATATAAAAATTTTATAGGAATGGAGTGTATATTTTTTGGCTGGGTTGTGTTGGGTCAGGAAACTCTTTTTTATATGAAGAGTATGAAGAAATGAAGTGTATATTTTTAAGGTTGGGTTGGGTTGGATCCGGTTAGAAAATTCATTTTTATATGAAGACTACGAAGAAATTAAGTGTATATTTTTGGGCTGAGTTGGATTGGGTTCCGTCTGGAAATCCATTTTTTAGATGAAAAGCATATAGAAAAGACGTGCATATCTTTTGGGTTGGATTACGTTGGGTCGGGAAATTCACTTTATTCTGACAACTATGTAGAATTGAGGCTTATATCTTTCGGATGGATCAGATGATATCTTCTATGAATATCCTCCAACCCTCAATCAAATAGCAGCAAAGGTGATTTAGGAGAGAGAGCAGTTATAGAGCGATCTAAGGTATAAAAGATAAAAGAGATATTGACTGAACAAGCGACAACACATATAGCATCGCACATGGTGTTGGTGCCGCGAAAGCACCGGCACATGCCACAACACACACACAACGCATTGGGCCTGGTTGGGGTGCCGCGGAAACATCGAACACATCCAACGACACACAAACGCTCTATATCAGTTCTATCGTATGTGCCTCCATAACTCATATCTCATATATCTCCTATGCCACTTGACTTACTTTTCGAAGAAATACTGAACGAACATTTTATCATACTCTCTCGATTCAGAAGAGCATTGGTGGCGCTGATTGTCGTTCATCGAGCGTAAATGAGCGAAAACAGGAGCCGCATCGAGACTAATTCTCTCATGCGCAGTCGCCGATGAATCCCATCATTTTCTTCATTCACATCCAGATCAGGTAGTAACGGTTAATTTAAAATATTTTTTAAAAGTCAAGCAGATAGTGAAACAACTACCTAAAAGTGTTAATCATTATTTCTAGGATAGAAGTCCATGAATGAAGAATTTTTACATAGCAAGCACTAAGAATATGGGTTTCCTCATCGAACCCAACACAAACAAGCCTCAGAGATATAGACTAAAAAAATATATATACTTTTCATCATAAAATGAGTTTCCTCACCCAACCCAAGCTAACCCAACCTTAAAGATATACACTATATCGCTATATACTTCTCATGTTAAAATAATGTCTCGACTGATGCTTACGCGGGACCGAGAATTATATAGCTTGAAAGGAGAGTGTTAAAAGGAACTGCGATCTATACATCATATAGCATTAATCCGCACACTCGAAGCAATGTTTTGTAGCTAGTGTTATTCATTCTGTAATGATATATCGAAATTTAAATTTCCTGGAAATAGAAACTTACGATGCCCTCGTTATAAATGATAGATTCTTGCTTGTGCTGTCTAAGCACGAACTTTGTAAAAACTGGTTAGTTTTTCAAATATTATTTTCTGCTTCACGGCGTTCCGTGGCTATTCTATCACGTTCTCCAACAAAGTATGTCAATCGCTGTAAAATCAGTTCCATCCTGCTATTCACCCAAGAAAGCAAAAGCTGCTCGGCAGTAGATTGCTGTGCCTTATCCATTTGTGCTTAAAACTAGTACAAACAATCGAAATGAAAATACTAGATGTTTCTGTCATCGAACTCGATTTTGTTCAAACAATGCATTGTTTGACTTTCGTTTTAAAGTCTATTGAAAGTCATTATCAGCTTTACTAATAGATTTTTTTTTCTCTTTTAGATAATGACTTCCTTACCATTTTTGGATGAGCTTATAAAAGCTTGTAGCACAATTTTAACTGTTATCCAATCATGTTGGACTAAAAGAAGGGAATTAACAAAAGAAAGCGATGAGGCGCACGAATCGAACAATGACTTATCACTTGTTAGAATTATTGATTCTGAAGAACTTTGTTTATTTGCACCATCTGATGAGGTCAGTGCTTTATTTACAGAAATTTCAGGACAAATTCAAAATATCATCAGACAGCTACGTCACTCGTCGAATTATGTCGAAGTGACATACAATTACTTCCTAGATTTTTTGTATAATTTCCATTTTATTGATGATCGTTTTACTGAAACGTTCACCGTGAATCTTCTTTCAACATTTGAACAGAGCTTAACTGTCTTTATTCAATCCATTGAAGCTTACCTAGGCGCTCAAAGTGGAGATATCACTGTTGTCAAAAAGTTCCTTGCTGAAGATCCATCTTCTAAAAATCGACCTTTACTAAATGGACATACACTATTATACGCGGCTACGATGAATAACTGCTTCGAAATGATTAAGTATCTAATTGAAGAAGCTAAATGTTCAGTCAATGCTCTGAATCAAAACGATGTATCTACAGATATGGACACACCATTGCATGTGGCTTGTTCCAACGGATATTTAGATATAGTTCGTTACCTTCTTGGTCAAGGTGCTAACTGTTACATAGAAAATAAAAAGAAAGAAACAGCTACAATTATCGCTAAATCTTCTTCAAGTCTTTACGATGTCTTCTGCAATCATCTAGTTCTTGATTATACTGGAAAAGAATCAGGTAAAATCGATTTACCAACAATGACGATTGCTAATGAATTATCGTTGACGAATTATGATAAAAGTTCGGCTAAGAACAATTGTGTTTGGGAATTTAAGCCACTACATCAACAATATTGGCAAGTTTTCATGGAAAAGGAATCAAACGAATTGAGTACAAATTTACGAGACAAATCAGATATGCACATCGATCTCGATATTCAAGGTCAAATATATACCATATCGATGATGAAATTTCTCAAAGAAGTCAATAGTCAAAATTTGAATGAAAATCAAGCATGGATTCGATGTCGTGGATCAAATATATATAATTTCGATGTTATCTCTCTATGGCAAATGATGCTCATTATGCATCCTTCTATAACCAATAAAATACATCAAGAACCACAGTTGAAAACTATCACTGTACCATCAATATTCGATCGAAATCAATTTGCTTATCATCTTAACTCATGGTACAATGCAGACGAAATTATAAGTAAATCAATCGATGAAGCGATCAATCAACGTCTTCGATATCTCACGATCAATACTCGCCTTTTGGGAAGGATTATTTTCAATTTAGAATTGTTTTCTTTTACCAATGAGAGTAAAACAATTCAAGGATATCTTCGATGGCTACCGAAATTTGTTAATTTTGATATGAAAGCCAAACGTATGACGCCTGTCGACAATTTTCAAGCGATTGATCTTCAAAATAATCCACCAATTCCTTTAAGAAATAAACTTTTACGTGAATTTTCGGCCATACATGACCAGACTACCGAGTCAAGCAAAATTTCTGATGAAAATAATGACTCGTCTCAAAGCGATGATGTCATGCCTGATGTAACCGATCATTTTAACGACAATGAGACAGAAGAGAAGAAAGAAGATATTGAAGATGTTTCATTGTCATCCGTACAAACAGAAGTAGATACCAAATTCCAATGTGATAGTGATGAGGAATTAATTATAGTCGAAATTGAACCAAATAACTCAGCTATGATAGAAAATATTCAAAATAATATTCGGGAAAAACGCAATGATTTAAATCGAGAGAATGCTAAAGTGAAACACTATGAGCAAATCGTACAAAAAGAACACAATTTGTTAATGGAGATTGACAAGAAGAAAAAAGAGATGGAACCACAACAGAATTTAATTAGTAAATTATGTGAATCCTTATTAAACCCATCAGTATCGGAAGAATTCATTTCGTTACAAAAAGAATATGAAAAACAAGAAAAAATATTAAAATTACGTATGGACGAATTAAATAATATCAAACAAGATTATGATCAACTTCAACACGATCTAACAATCGAACAAAATAAAGTTCGACAATTTCAAAATCTTCAACGAGAAGAAGAACAAGCAGTGAAAGAATTGATTCAAATTAAGTATAATATTCCATCTACTGAACATGTTCAATTACAACCGACTATCGTCGAAAATTATCTGCGAACATTGATTTACCCTGGTAAAACAGCAATGCATGAGAAGAACATCAGAATCCATGTGGACAATTATCAAACTAAAGAACATTATATCTTATGGAATTTAGAAGCTTATTCTGTTCATCATGTTGCAATGAATGCTATTCGCTCTCGAACTGAACAGATCATTAGACAAGTAGCAAGACAAAAGACTTCCTATCGAAACAAAATAGCCATCTCTATACGATCATTTATTAAAACAATCTCGAATGTACAACTTCGATGTAGTTCAAAGAATTGGAAAATTTTTATGGAAATTTTTCAACATTTAATCAATAATGCACATGAAATGTTCTGTCAACAATTCAATGTTGAAATCGGGAAAAAAGTGAGACCACTTATCAATGATATGATTCAAAACATTTCTGATTGGTGGAATAAATTGGCTATAGAAACCAATAACTATTTGACAACTCATGATTTTATGAAATCGATTGAGGAATTGAAACGAAATGCTTTTAAACAATTTGTAATCAAGACCAAGGAAATATTTACATATACTAATGAATACACGAAAAGATCTAGCGATGTGAGAGGTAATTTCTATTCAATATGACATCAATAAATGAAGATTATTCTTACCATTGTAGAAGTACATCTACGCCAGTTGCAATATATACTCGACTCTGATATAATCTACTCAGGTCATCAACCTCATCATTTTTCGTTATTATCATCCTTAATTCATCGAGTTCACGTCATCTTGCAGTGTTTTAAATTAAAATTACCCTTATTCGAATCGTCCGTTGATTTATTAGAGAAAATTCATGAAAATACCGTTGTGGCTATTTCGACTGCAACAGGATCAGGCAAATCAACGCTTCTACCTCCATTACTTGTCGCTGCTGGCTATGAAAAAATCTTAATTACACAACCACGTCGATTACCCTGTAATCTTTTGTCAAAGCGGGTTAACTCCAGTATGGACAGTTCTAGTTTAAGTGGTTGGGCTGTGTCCGGTGCCCGTTCTAGTAATTTCTTACGTGCACCTATTCTCTACTTGACCGATGGACTCCTTAAAGAACATTTATTGTATCGTGAACGATATTTGATTCAACAAGCGAAGATTAGCAAACATGGACTTGTTTTCTTTGTCGACGAAGTTCATGAGCGTTCGATAAACATCGATCTTTGCCTAACTTTATTAGCTCGATTTCTAGAAAAAAATCCTTCAATTCACTCAAAGTTGAAAATTATTATTTCCTCGGCCACAGTCGATCCGTCCATAGCACGAATCTTTCGTCCATTCAAATTACACGAAATGAAATTGGAAACATCAACTCTGCATCAGGTCGATAGAAAACCTCCTTGTACGGAGAATATCATCGATTTAGTTTCTCGATTAAATCAACAACTTGAGTCTAATGAACAAATACTTTGTTTCGTTAAATCAGCACAAGAAGTGACACAATTGATCAAATTATTGAAGCTAGTGAAAGGTTTGCCAGCTTTTCCATTAGTTCAATCGCAGCCATCAAGTGAACAGCAAAAACTTATTGAAACCAAGCATATTTTCTTTTCTACAACAGTTGCTGAAACATCTCTAACTTTTCCTTCGCTCAAATATGTGATCGATACTGCTCTTATTCATATGCCTGTCTATGATCCATCAACAGATACAACTGAACTTTGTGAATTGAATGCAGCTGAATCAACAGTCAAACAACGTCAAGGACGACTTGGACGAACACGATCTGGTGAATATTATCCATTATATACGTTCAATCCTTCCGACAAGAAATTTCCAGTTCCACAAATATGTCAAACAGAATTAGTTCAAATCGAATTTTCTCTTCGAAGGTCTCCATTGGGATGTGGATTCGATCATTTAAAAAGGTGGATGCCTAATCCACCTAGTGAACAAGCCATTGATGCCGCCAATAAACGCTTGCATCAACTCGATATCCTTGATAAACATAAATATTTTACGGCAATCGGTGTATCGATTTCTAAATTACCAGATTTCGGAAACATAGCAATGAGCAAAGCAGTTCTAATAGGTTTAGAGAAATATAACTGTGGTCGAGATATCATTCGACTGGCTGCTATTCTTGGTGTACTCAATACATCGTCCATTCTACGTTCTATTCCTGCTAGTTATACAAAAGCTGAAGGTGATTTTATGACCTTACTCACTGTAATGGATGCTGTTCTTGCTCAGAAACTCATTCAACCACCACATCTCTTCGATATAGATGATGCTTGTAAACAAACTAATCTCGGAGGAATAACACATATCCTCAAACGTGCTGTTCTAAGATATGAATCATTTGAAAAATTTTTTTTTTGCTCATCAAAAGAATACCGTGCAGCAGCTCAGTGTTCATCCAACGGTGACTGGGAATCCATCGCTCGTGCTCTTCTCGAGGGCTACTCAGACAATGTCTATCTATCACTGGCAGAAATTCAAGGTAGAAAACATTATTACCTTCGCTATACAGTTCCAAACACGACAGAAAAACAGAGAAAAGCTGTTCTTGATTCGACATCGAAACTTGCACGGCCTCTCAGTGCACAGCCTATTTCTTTAGTACTTGCCCGTGATATTCGTGTTTCAACAGATATTCGAGCTCGATCAATCCTCTCGATTCTCGGTGAGATTCAACCAGATTGGCTTGATCGAGCTCTTGAACGTGACATTCCATTAACCAATAAAGAAATCCAAAAGTATAATGAAGAAATCAAATCTAGTCCAGATTTTATGACCATATCAAGTAATATTGTTTGTTCTTTAAGCGGCAGACAATTAACTTTATCGGGACAAGCCGGTTGTGTGCTAGCGACGGAATTACATATACGAAATAAACTTGTGGTAAAGTATACAACGCAAATTATTTCGGAGGACGAGATCGATAAGTCATTAAAACAGAACGTTGAAAATCTAATCGATACATTGCATATTTTTCTTCCAATGGTATGGCGTTGGAAAGCAGAAAAACAGGTGAAGATAAGGTTTCTTCAGACAAAAAAAGAAGGCGAAATTGTAATCAAAGCTCGTGATGAAGATTATGAAAAAGTACGAAAGGAGCTTGATTCATTTGTTGGATGGCTTCGACCATGTAAAGCTTTACATTTGCATCCAGGCCTATCACCTCGCCGCTTTATTGATCCGCAAACGAAACAACCATCGTCCGATATTGAAAGTCGTATCAGACGTATTACTGATATCACGCTAACTTCAGTTGATCTCTGGCCACGAGTTCGAGGACCAGCAGCGACGAGAGAAACACGAATGGAAGTGGTAGCATGGACAGCAGTATGCCATTTTCACTGTAAACTAGAAGGTGGTTTTATTCGTGATTGGGTGGTTGCGAATCAGTCAGCTCGACCTCCATTAAGTACTCCACGCCAACAATGGGTTCAATTTCAAAATAATATTCCGGCTATAGACAAAGGTTTAATTCCATCGGATCTCGATTGTCATTTACCGCTTGATCATCATTTTGATATCGATCGATTTCTCGATGAAATGCACAAATTTGAAATATCAACAGAAGTATATCGGCAGCATTGGCGCTATATATTACTCTTTGATCGAGATTATCCGACGGGACCATTCACGATGGATCTTATCGAACCTCATGTTGCACTCACACACAATCGCATTGATTTCGATGTCAACAATCTATATGTCATGCGTGAATTCTGCGCAGAACTAGGTCAACGAGTCAATCTTCATGATCCACCGTTTTCCATTGATCTTGAAGAAATTGTTCAAAAGATAAAAAGTAAACAATTTCGTGTACTACGACCCATTGATAACATAGTACAGACGCGTATCGATAAGATGCTCGCACGTGGATGGCAAAAGACCGATGAAGATTTGAATTATATTCCACCACCACAAAACAATTTCAAATTTGTCCTAGATCCACTACCACAAAACTATCAACTTTACCAACAAGTTGAAAATGCGATGAAACAAATTCCCAATGTAAAAATTCTGTCTATTGAGCAAATTCGCAATCCAGTTGTCTACGAAACCTATCATGCGATGAAAAAATTGATTACAGGTCAATGTCCTGATGGAAATCCGAATGAATGTTATTTATTTCATGGTACATATACGAATAACGCTGAAAGCATCATGACGATGGGTTTTGATGATCGCTACTTTAGCAAGAATGGCTTATATGGTAAGTCATAATATCTTTATGTTCGAATTCGCAGCAAGAAATAGATTACATTCGATGTATTAACTTTCTCAGAAGTCTTGAACTCATCGCATCGCGAATCGTAGCATAGTTTTCTACCATCATTTTGAATAAAATAAACCTTGTCTGTTTATCATAGGTCATGGAGCTTACTTTGCTGACAAACCTATTAAATCGCATCAATATACAAGGGCATCAGAAACGGATACAAGCCTTAAAATGTTTTACAGTCAAGTAACACTGGGTCAGATATTTGACAAGCCAACTACGGACAGTTCTTTAGTTTCCGCGCCAGAACATTATCATTCCGTACGTGGCTTAGCAAATGCTGATGTGATTGAGTACATTGTCTATCGCAGCTCTCAAGCCGTGCCATACCTTCTCATCACTTATCAAGCATAACAGATGCTTACATTCTATCAAGCACTAGTGAATGAAAAAAAATTGTTCAATATCATTGGATAGACACGAAGTATCCTTATTCAATAATGAAAGAAATTACAGCTCTTTCATTGTGCTGTAAAACTACCTGTTCAAAAATATTTTTCAAAGAATTTAATAAAATAAAGACACTATGCATAATATCCACCTTAGTATAAAAAAGACACCTCTATGTCATATTCTGCAAATATCGGAAATATTCAAATTGATAAATCTACATATGTGTCAAATTTGACACCTAAGTCTGATATTTTGCATTGTTCTGATTAGTTCGAAAGACGACATGTGGTAGCCTAACCAGGGACAAACTAGAGCAGACGCTGCTAGTCTTTGTTCTGACATCAACAGGAAGAAAAATTGATTATTACGATCCTTTACACTACTTCGAATTAATTCTCTCAAAAATAATGGGGTAATATCTTATCAATCATGATTTTCTGGTTACGTCATTACGCTAGAGATTGGTATGTCTTGAGCAAATTGACAAAATGATGAGAGTGAGGGTGTGAGAATGTCAGGCATGGTCTACTTCGAAGTGTGAATATGGGAGTGTGAGTGAGTGTTGGTGTGGGGTGGGTGTGGGGTAGGTGTGGGTGTGGGTGTTCTCATGAATAGCCCACAATGACATCCACACCACACCACACGCACACCCATACCCACACAAGTCGTTACCCAAAAGGTAATACCCCAAATTCTTCAACTTTAAAATATATAGTTACATCGAAAGTCATTACCCAAAGGTAATACGCTAACTATGAATCAGTTTTGAAAAGCGAATACCTGTGATTGCAAGCGTATGGGTATTGTGACATAAAATTGTGGATACTCGGTGTAATGGTAATATAACATCTATGAACATCGGATACTAAATGATGTACAGTATTGTATGACCGTTGGTTCTTTTCATGAGGACAAGTGGATTTCACATTAATTGAATGGTTTATATAAAAACTGTCACGAACATATGGGAATGTGTAGAGAGCAAATTTTCGAGACTTCGAATTTCAATCACATCAACAACCATTTAGTAAGAGCTGAAAAGAAGTTATTGATAGAACAAGTGATGTGAAGAGTGTATAAAAACAATTCGAAAAGATGCTGAAAAGTGTTGAAGATTTGGTGTACATTAGCATAAGCAATCCTTACACAATGAGTCATCATTAAAACCCAAAATAGATAGATGTACAAGAGTATGGTCACAATAATAATAAGTAAGCTTTGGTAGACTCTATATACAGTTTATCAAAGTAAAAGCATTTGCTTGACTTTCACTCATATATGGTGATAAAGAACAATATATGAAGATTGAATTAGTAAGATTAATTAAGTAAGGTAATGCCAATATAATTTTTTCCATTAACTGTATTGCCGAATGATAACTGAATTAAAGGAATTTCAATTGAACAAATTGAGTAAGTGTGAAATCATAATTATATAATTGATTAAATGATCGAGAAGAACTCTCCTTTTCTAATATATTCAACGAAGATAGTTTAGCGTCCAAAGCTGGTAGATACTTTTTGCAAATTGTAATAAAATCATTGAAGTACAAGAGTTGAAAATCGATACCATAGAGAGTAAAAAGACGAAAAATCAGAGAATCAAAATCGATAATTGAGACCATTAAATGCATAAATACGATAATTAGTACGGAGATATTTGAATAGATGAAGTAACAGTTCGTTGGTCAATGATTCGAAATTCATTTTTTGTAGTATTCGTCAGAGAAAATGAATCTACAATATCGTTTATATAGCAAGTAAACGAATATTTCGAAATTTCTTGATAAAAGGAAAAAATTTATAAATGAATATTGTTTTTTTTTCTTACCATGATTCTCAAAAATATGTTGGAATAGTTAGTAGAAAACGAATTACTTTCTCCTCTTGTTTTTAGCTTTGTATTGCATCCAGAAGTCTCAGGGAAAATAATTCAGAAAAAGATTTACGGTCGTTTAGTGTATCAAACGAAAAAAGAAAACTTGAGTTTGCTTTTAAATTAGCTATGACAGTTTCAATTTAATCTATGGGAAACATAAAGTAGTAGAAGCGTATATTTAGGTAGTTTTTGAAAAACTCGATAGATAAATCAAAATCAAAGCTGTAATTAATTTTTATAATCAAAAAGAAGAAAATCTTAACTTCGAAATATTTCTCAAAAATTCTTTTTATTCAATCAAAATTATGAAACAAAAAAGTGTTTTTCCTCCTCAGATAGATAAAAATCACTAATTTTTTTAATCTTTTTTGCTTCAAAACTTCGTAGTGACAAGATTTGATATTTTAACGGCACCATAGAATAGATTCTAAACGTTTAATGCAAGAATGTCGAAAATCAAAATCCTTTTCAGTCCCAGTTCTCGTCTTCACATTCATTATTGGATTTTGTACATATTACATTTTATAGATCAACACTTAACATAAGCTTTTCACCAAAGATTTAAAAGATTTTTGATATGTCAACATGAAGTTGTTTTCTCGATACTGAAGAGTATTTCAAGAAAATTATCCACATTCGTTGAGCAGAAGTTGAAATATATGTGTATTTTGTATCCGCAACGTAATATTTCAATATGAGAGCCATTTGCTTAATATGTTTATGAATATGAACTGTTTTTCTTTTTACAAACGATAATATATCGAGTTTTGATGAGAGTAAAGAGGTTTTGACTAAACTTTCGTTTGAATACTATTACTATGTAGTTGGTTTTATTAAGTTAAAATCGTTCGAACGAGATCTACTTTACAATTCAACTGTAGATAGACAAATAAAAGATACGTATGAGTCATAGATACCAACGTCTTATTATTAAATAATTTCGCGTCATTTGATAATTTTGATTAGTGGATATTATGACCAAGGCTCCCTATGTATTTATTTATTTCATTCTTAGACACTTGTGTTTTTTTCCATTTTGGTTAATACGAAAGATTGATGTTTCTTCGATTATTGAAATTTTCAGTTCAAGTTTTCCATTGAAATACTCAACTATCAAAATGATAAAGTGCTGATGTATATATGTGTTTTCTTGGAATCGACAGTGAGAGAGAGAGATACGATGTCTCATTCATTTCCACACGATAAGATAAGTTCAATTTTGTGAGTTTCAAATTTGATGTATATGGATTATTGTTTATTCAAATATCTTCTTTCAATAATGCAATATATTCAGTTAAGTTTGGGATGTGACTGTGAAGTACGTTACAATAGCATTCACGCTCAAAAGGAGTCGTTTGCAATTTTGAGATAATTCAATGCTAGCAAAGCAGATTATTTACGTACATTTTTTACTTTGAAATATTGTTGAACATATTTTTATTCAATCTTTGTATTGTGTACTGCACTATTGTTATTTCAATTGTTTGTGTCAATCATTGATAGAATGATATTTGTCAGAAGTCTCAAAATTGAATTATCTGAATGAATCTCTACTAAAATTCTCTACAGATATCGATCATATAGAGAGGTTATGAAGATTATCTATCTGATCTGTTAAATTTGAATTTAAAATCTTATAATCGTTTTTATTATATAAAACTAAAGATTGATTTTTCAATTATCATCGTTGCTATTCAAAACGAAAAATAGTAAATAGAATATTCTATAAATTCTGATGAACATTGAAATAGCAATCCACTCATTGTTTTTGTCGCTATTTCTCGATAGTTTATTTAAGAAAAAACTAAGAAGCAAAAAAATTGATGAATTAACACTTCTATCCTCATAAAGCAGAGTTCGCTTTAGGATAATCTCAAAACGATAGTAGAAGACAAACGAGATATCTCCACCAATGACCGTACACTTACTAATCGATCCTGTAACCAACTAACCAATTCATCTTCTGTGAATTTTTGCTCGTCATCGTCATATTCTATTCGATTTTGCGTTTCTCGTTTGTCATCATCACATTTCACATTTAATAATCGTAAATTGTGCATTTTTCTAACTAGATAACATATGGATTCTCGGCTTTTCACACGAATTTGAAGTTCTTCGCATTGCATAGCCAGAACTGAATTACTAAATCTTACACATGCCTCTTTAGTGTATGATAAATAGTATCCTTGTAAATTGAGTTGTTTTAACGACTTATTTGTGATTTCCAATAGTAGGTTATCTATAGAACTGTCTTTACGAATCTCCGATAGACTTAAGGACGAGAGACGAGATGCACGAATAAATAAAAGTTGGAGTTGATTTTTACATTCTTCACTATCACGTAACAATAATATCTTGCATGAAGTTAAATGATCGAAGGTTGGAACCATTGACCAGAAATGATCACAGATAGGAGCGTATATTTCCAATGTTTCTAGTTTGTTAAACTGAATATTAGATGGTTGGATGCATGTTCCAGGCTCACGCGAGTATATTAAGGTACGTACAGCATCATATGATTGTTGGTCCTTCTCTTGAAGACAAGTCGATTTCAAAAACAACGGACACTTTATTCCAAAATCGCTAAAACCGTATGGTAAAGTATAGAGATAGAAGAATGATGGGTTCAGCCTCCATTCACATCGCACAAACCAACCATGCTTATCAAGCCAAA